GTCTTTGGGCGCGCGCACGGCTTCCGGTGCGTGAGGTGTGTACACACTCTGTCGTAGTTTGCGCAAGCGCCGGAAGTGATCTCTCGCGCATATATGTCACTCATTGTTTACACAGTGCACTAATCAAAATGGTACTTACTTGCGCTTATCCGGATTGTTCAAACCGACTTAAAACTAAAAGATTACGTTCTCTTGCGCGAACTCATTCGGGATTGGTGATTTTCCACGTATTCCCAACTTCTGAGCCTGCTCACTTGAAGTTATGGTTTATTGCTCTTCGGCTGGATATCAACAAACCCTTTAACGTAAACTATGCCAGAGCGCGTACCCCCCTCACGCACTGGATGCCGTGCGCGCGGCCAAAGACAGTTGGACACAGTGGTGTATTAGAGGTAAAATATGATATAAATACTGTTCGGCTTCTGCATCTAGTGTATTGGACAAAGCTGTTAGCATAGTTGTTATTTTTTCCAGGAGCCAGTGTACTGCTAAATTGTGGCCTGTTACTGGAGAATGACTCAGCCAGGGGAAAACAATGTTCCTTGTTTGTTCCGCATTAGATTCTTCTTGCAGAAACCTGTGGTAATTAGACATCAAAGTCCTTTACATGTACAAAAAATTTGATACACTGTATATATGTTTTTATATTTAAAAGTGTATGTCTACATTAAAGGAACAGTTCACCCAAGAATGAAAGAATGAAAATGTACTCATCCTCAGGTCATCCAAGTTGTAGATGAGTTTGTTTCTTCATCAGATTTGGAGAAATTTAGCATTACATCACTTGCTCACCAATGGATCCTCTGCAGTGAATGGGTGCCGTCAGAATGAGGGTCCAAATAGCTGATAAAAACATCACAATAATCCACAAGTAATCCATCAATTAACGTCTTGTGAAGTGAAAAGCTGTATGTATGAAATGTAAGCAAATCCATCATTAAAATGTTTTAACTTTAATCCATTGCTTCCAGCTACAATACGAGTCCTCTATCCATAATATTGCTTTTTTTTCCGGTGAAAAAGTTGTCTCGTCTGAATCAGGAGAGAAATATGCACTGTTTACAAGTGAAAACTGTCCAAAATAGCTCTAAACACACATTGATTGACTTCACAAGATGTTAATTGATGGACTGGATTACTTGTGATGTTTTCATCAGCTGTTTGGACTCTTGCTCTGACGGCACCCATTCACTGCAGAGGATCCATTGGTGAGAAAGTGATATAATGTTACATTTCTCCATACCTGTTCTGATGAAGAAACATACCCATCTACATCTTGGACGGCCTGATTTTCAGTTCATTTCCATTTTTGGGTGAACTACTCTTTAAAAGAATGACACACAAGATGAATTCTGACCCTGGACTGGAAAACAGTATAGATAATCGAGATGACCCGTCGGACAAAACTGTGCCTTTTAGCTTTTTAGTAAAACAAAATGACTCAGAAACCTACAAATTTTAAAGCCACCAGCAGGTGTTGCTGAGCAACTGAACTCTTGAGTAAAGCAATAATGAATAAGAGAGAGAGAAGACACCATGCCAAGTCACATGGAAAGGAGAATGAGTGAGCGAGAAAAGATCAAGGAGGGCAAGTGAGATTAATGCGATCGTGAGGTGGTGTGGGAAGCTCAGGTGCTCAGCAGCTCATTAACACTAGACCGCAATAACACCTACTCTCAAAAAAACACCACAAGCATGTATTCACAAGCGAAATACAGACCGGGAGCACTCAAACTTTGCCTTATTAGTATGTAAGTGTACAAGAGTGAACTGAGCAGATAGGAAAACAAGCAGGAGGAGATTTTGGAAGGAACAACACCGTCTCCTGATCATTAGCAAAAGTAAACAGTTTTATAGAGTCCTCTGATAGACTCATGAATAATGCAAGTCAAATATGAAAGGGCAAATTACAATAAGTTTTACATCAACATGCGGAGAAAGATTCAACAAAAGCTCATTTTCAAACACTTGACTTTGTTTTCTCATAGAAGGCTGTATGTGCAAATAAAACGAGATGAGAATTTCTCCAATTTACCATCCTCAAACAAGACGCTCCGCCAGCGATGAACTCAAATTGTTTGCCCAGCATAATTTGCCTGCGATGAGGATTTGCTGTGTGAACAAAATCATCTGACAGCCATTATACCATGTACGGCGGAGAACTTTCATAACTTTGATTTGTATTATTTCGTTAACTAGAGTAACAATAACTTTTCATAAGAGAAAGCATGCAGCTCAGGAAATGAGCCTGAAAGCGAATCAACATTCTTCATATAGAAACTCTCATTTCTTAACTGCTTTAGTATTTATTAGTATTAGCTTGAATTGGAGGCTGCTGTCTTACCCAAGCTGCAAACTCTCATGGAAAGCTTTTACTATACTCTACATGAGACCGGAGTAGGGTCTAATTATGCTGTTGGCTGTATAATTAACTGATGTGACTAACATTTGCAAAAAGTGAGTAAAATGCAGGTGGTTAAAAACTACATTCATCCAAAAAAGAAAGGAAGTAGTAGTTATCTATAACAATGTATGGCCAGGTCTTTAAAGAATACCCACTGTGTCATATTGAAATATTATTTTGGTAGTAGGTGTGTTGAGTAACCACCTTTGCCTGAATGAATCTCATTTAGATGTCCCTCATGGACATCAGTTCAACAGATGTGGGTGGTTTTGAAAGATGTTCGGCATCCATTTTGCATAAATCATTAACACTTTAGGATGCTGTATTCTGTCTCTGTCAGAACTGCATTGTAATACCAGCATAAAAATTTGAGTGTAAAGTTGAATTGAAGAATTAATTGTGCATCTGTATCTTTATAAGCATTTATTTTATTAACATTGTTATATAACAACGTACTTCAGCGACTACACTCTGCTTTTCCCTTTAAAATATACATTCACTATAATAATGAAGGTGGTAAAATAGAAGGCCACATGATGAATTAAAGTTCCTCAAAATTAACCTTTCAATGAGCCATGACTAATAAACATATGTAGACACTATTCAATGGTACAGACACAAAGCACCAAGGTGACATCACTGAAACAATAGAGAAAAAAAACACTGTAAAAAAATCCACCTAAACTTTTGTCTTAAAATTTGAATTAGGCTAAAGTCAGATTTCCTGTACAACTGTACAAGTCAAAACTACATTGAAGTTGATTATGTATGTATTGCAACTGTATGTATTTACATGTACATACTTATATGCATACATATATTTAGACAGTGAAGGGGCTCCAAAGGGGGTCGCAAAAATACACAAAACTACATACAGTTGCTTTAAAGTACTGGGGGGGGGGAAGAATAAACAAAATAATCAAATGTTATGTTTAAAGGAAGGACATTTGGGAACATCCTATTACTGTTTACCACCTTTCCACTTATGCTTAAACCTACTTTAGCAGCATTTTACTCTAAAAGTACCTGTATTTGTGGGTTAAATGTTTTTTTTATTATTCTAAATTATGATTTATTTATAGGTATTTATTTTTACTTTACAGAAAATGTTTGGTTACAGTAAAATTGCATGTGGTGTCATATTAAATCACATAACTTACAGTTAAGTAGCCTTTTTGCTTTGTTTTGCGTGTAAATAATTAATCACATGTTTAATTATTTCTATATGTATTTAAACAAGAATTTGTGTATTTATACATACATTTATTTATTTATTTGCATATTTATTTATTTATTTGTGTATTTATTTATTTATTGTTTTTGCAGGTTTCGCCCTCCATACTTTTGCAGCATCTCGCGCAAGACCCGCGTTCCAAAAAAACGCGACGTAAATTAAACTTGTAAATAAAATAAAAAACCGTCTGGAGACACTGCGTTTTTAACCCAATTCCACTGCCCGCGTTTTGTGAGAATGACCCGTTAAATTTTTATTGAAAATGTAATGACTTCACTCATCCATTCATTCAAATATATATAAAAACAACTTTATTTTAATAAGTTTAAACAAACAGACTTCCCTTTTTTGAATGTGATCACAGACATTTGGAGCCCACTGTAGCTTATATGCAGTTGTAGGTGGAACTTTATCCGTGTACGTTTGTCCTAAGAACTACAGGCGACCGTGACAACATGACCATTTCAGCTCACAAAGCCAAGTGTTGCGTGCATTTGGAATGCTAGTGTATTGACGCTGCAGTGGCCGCATGCACTCGCCAACGTTGCTCAACAAGTTAACGTTTGGAATAATGGAATGATGTCACATCCGCTGTGAAGGTCTCCTTGGCAGTGCTGGCCCTCGCGCGCAGTCTGCTGAATCCTCACAGTAAAATTGCATGTGGTGTCATATTAAATCACATAACTTACAGTTAAGTAGCCTTTTTGCTTTGTTTTGCGTGTAAATAATTAATCACATGTTTAATTATTTCTATATGTATTTAAACAAGAATTTGTGTATTTATACATACATTTATTTATTTATTTGCATATTTATTTATTTATTTGTGTATTTATTTATTTATTGTTTTTGCAGGTTTCGCCCTCCATACTTTTGCAGCATCTCGCGCAAGACCCGCGTTCCAAAAAAACGCGACGTAAATTAAACTTGTAAAAAAAAAAAAACCGTCTGGAGACACTGCGTTTTTAACCCAATTCCACTGCCCGCGTTTTGTGAGAATGACCCGTTAAATTTTTATTGAAAATGTAATGACTTCACTCATCCATTCATTCAAATATATATAAAAACAACTTTATTTTAATGAGTTTAAACAAACAGACTTCCCTTTTTTGAATGTGATCACAGACATTTGGAGCCCACTGTAGCTTATATGCAATTTTAGGTGGAACTTTATCCGTGTACGTTTGTCCTAAGAACTACAGGTGACCGTGACAACATGACCATTTCAGCTCACAAAGCCAAGTGTTGCGTGCATTTGGAATGCTAGTGTATTGACGCTGCAGCGGCCGCATGCACTCGCCAACGTTGCTCAACAAGTTAACGTTTGGAATAATGGAATGATGTCACATCCGCTGTGAAGGTCTCCTTGGTAGTGCTGGCTCTCGCGCGCAGTCTGCTGAATCCTCATGCGCGTGCGGTCGTAACTTTGGATAGCGCGCGCTCAGTATTGGCTGCACGCTGGAGCTCGCGCGGCGGAGTAGCACGGTAATGAATGTGGATCTATTCGCCCTGTTCTGTTCGGGCATCATCTGCCACGCCGAGGACGCGATATTAACGCCAAAAAAGTGCGATAGAGCCGTGGCAGCATGATCCTTCTGTTCGGTGCATTAAATCCCCTGCTTTTCCTCATTGTCTTCGGACTGTATCCATCCATGGTAAGTTGATGTGATGAGTTGCAAGCTAAAACATTTCAGGATAATGCATTTCTTCATTTTTGTTTCTCTGTGTGAGTATATCTGAAACTGACTACATATGCTTTAGTGGGAAATAAATGATTTATTATTTTAAATTATAGCAAGTTGCCTTCTGCCGCTTCAAAGATGTAATTTGGTATAGAATTGTTTAACATAACGGGGTCCTCAACACTGGAGTCCTCAGTGTTATACATCATATAATACATGACATGTACGTGTTGTAGGAAAATAAATCTATTGCATCTGAGGTCCACAGATAATAAACTTTGGTTTATTCAAGCATGAATGAAGCACCATTTGTCTTTCCAGATGTTTTCCAGTTTTGCTAGGAATGCATTAGTGAGTTACAAATAGATAAAGTGACATGCAGCAGATATTTATAAGCATTGGAAATGTGAATTTTGTAGATCTTTTTTTTTTTACATTTTCATCAGTGGGGATTCATAAGATGCATACTTATGATTTCACCAGCCAGTGAATATAATGGTTTAATGCTAAATTCTAGTCCACTGGCAAGCACAGTAAATAAGCAAAATAACCTGTCACTGAAAAAATGATAGAGGAAGCAATATAAAGCAATATTATTAATTAAATAAAATGTTTAAAAGTATTAATCAAATGGGCTCCACAAAAGTGAATAGTCAAAATGAGCAACTGCAGAGAACAGGGGGAAAAAACTGTTGCAAAACAACTTTCACGTTAATGAATAGTATTACACATTTTTAATTAGATTGATTAACTAAGAATATTTTTGAAAATGCTGTGTCAGGTGATAAGCAAACTGTTTCCTTTGTTGAAAATCCCAGTGCTTGTCTAATGACAACATCACATGAATACTCATCACATAACGTGACAAAAAAATATGCATTGAGTACCTAAAATGTAATACACAGATGAAACAAGACAAGGTAACAACAATCTGATCATTTTAAATGCAAACAGATGCACAAACCAACAAGTGACAACAACAGCATAAATAAAATTGGCAAACAGTTAGAAAATGCAACCATAATTTTTCACGCCCAGTGCACCCTGGGACGAACGGGACTCAAAGGAAATGCATGTCAATTTAAAACTGCTTATTTTCATTATGTTGGATTTACACAGTCATATTCATATTCAGTTGATTATAGCCTTAACAACAAAAAATTTTACATTTTGGTATTGAAATATTAATAAAATAAAAAATATATAATATTATAATAACTTATAAAATTTAAATACAATATATAATCAAATATATATTAAATTTAGTTTGTGAATAGCATTTTCATGAAATGTACTGATTTTTTGAAGCAGTTATCTCTTTTCATGCAGTGTTTTCAAATAAAACTGCATGATATTTTAATTTAAAGATACTTCTGCTAAAAGAAATCCCCATGAGGAGATGTAACAAGTGCTAAAATGAGTGTGTTGATGTGCTTCAGCTGTTTAGTCATAGGTGGACAGGAGCTGTCCACACTGCCGTGGTGCTGAAATGAACTAATCACATACAGACATTTGTCTGCATGGACTAGACAATGAATTGCTTTTAGTCGGAACCATTTGTTTAACCAATGAACAACCTTGCTAGTAGTTCTATGCTGGCTTTTTGACCTCCTCATAGAAATTCTTCAGAATGTCAAAAGGTCCATAAATAAACACTCACACAAAAGAAAATTGCAAATCCCCCATAGACCCCAGCAAGAGGGTGTTTGAGCTGTTTGACTATGAAACTGAATGGACGTTAGCTTAATGGGCTTCTAATTACATTGTTGTTGCTTGTGGGATGAGTGATTCATGATGATTAATTTGATGTGCTGAAATGCGCTTTTTTATGGTGACAAATCGCATTACACACCTACGGGATACAGCTTTCTAATGTTGGTAAAGGGATCCATAATAATACAAACCTTCACCTCATTTAACATTCAGAGTTTAGTTTTATAGCAGGACAGTTTTTGTACGAGTTTGAAGGGAAAAGTCAATTCAGTCATGTATTGATCCAGTGTCATTATGTTTCTTAAAGGGATCATATGATGTTGCTAAAAAGAACATTATTTTGTGTATTTGGTGTAATGAAATGTGTTTATGCGGTTTAAAGTAAAAAAAACACATTATTTTCCACATACTGTACATTATTGTTTCTCCTCTATGCCCCGCCTTTCTGAAACGCGTCGATTTGTACAAAGCTCATCGGTCTGAAAAAGCGAGGTGTGCTGTGATTGGCCAGCTATCCAGTGCATTGTGATTGGCCAAATACCTCAAGCGTGAGACGGAAATGTTATGCCCCTCACATACTGTTGAGGCCGGAGCGACGAGACATAAACATTAAAACCCATTACAAACGAGGCATTTGTTGCATCCAGTGGGGACATAATTACTGATTATAATGACTTATACTGTCTTTTTACGCGTTGCGTTGCATTGCATCGCGCCACGTAAACATAAAACTCTGTCTGCATTTGTGATTGGAGAAATTACAATCAAGAAGTGCTACTCTACTGTAGCGTCTGGACCACCCAAACACACAATATATATTTTGTTAGCTAGATTTAACAAATACTCTGTAACAGCCGTGAGTGGCCGGAACAGGCCCCTGATTCCATGGTAACCCTGACACCCGATCCATTTATGACCTCCTGGAATTTAGGTGAAGAAAATCCCCTTCCTTGCCCATAAGGAAAATCCACAAGGAATGGACTTTTCTAGTTCACAAAAAACTAAAACCACAAACATTTGCATTACTTGAAATAAAATAAAATAAAATATACAAAAACATTTTATTTCAGCCAGTTTCTGAGGAATAAATTGGTCATTAACTTGATGTACTAAAATAACTAATAATAACTAATAACTAAAACAGAAATAGTAATAGTAATTAATTAAAACTATATTGACATATTAAATAATAATAATAAAAATTATAAAAACACAACAAAATCACCAACTTTAAAATAAAAAACAAAATACAACAATAAAAACTAATTAAAATGATAATTAAAACTATACTGTATCTCAATGATACTAAAATAACAGTTGTGAATATTTTTCACTATCTGACCCAGAATCCAATCAAAATATTGATGTAGCCTATATGTGACATTCATAAAAGATATCCAGAGCATAGATGACTTTATGAAATCAGAAGAAATATGCTTGCTGACTATCTACTTTTCCAATCCGAACATTACGAACAACAATGAATGAATGAAAGTCACCGCATACACATGTATTTTCATTTACCTTAGCAGTACCGATAACCGTAGTACACACGTATGATGAATGGAATAAACCATCATACCCGTACAATAAATAACAAATCTGCTATGCACGAACACTGCCACACCCTGACTTTTTACTCTACAGTACAGATTTATCGCTGAGACTTTAAAAAGATGGCTGATAATGAATGAAAGCCTTTTTTATCTTTCTATGCCTCGCTAGCTTTCAGAAGTGTACTCAGATATAGAGGTCAGAGCACAAGAAAGCAAGAGTAAGCAAGCCACAGAAAGGGAGAAAGAAAAAAAGAATTGCCATTTCTGTAAGCAGCAACTAAGCCTTTTAATTTTCAAACAGGTTTTGTTGATACCAGCACTTGATGAAAAGCATGGCAGAGCCAAATACTAGTGAGAACAAAATATTAGAGGACTGTTTTTTCTGCTTTGTATTTAATTATCACCGTACAAATATCAGACATGAACCCTTGCATTTACTAGTGTGTGAGCAGCACACACACAAATGTACAACTTTACAAATTTTTTCCCCAACAAACTTTTTCAAATGAACTATTTGAATTTAGTCATAACAGTCACTTTTAAAAACATGATTTCCACTATCAGGACAGAAATGGGAGTCCATTTAAAAGACATGATCATCAGTACCTGGATGGTCATTGTATATTCCTCCATGCTCTGTAGTGATATATTCTGTTTTTCAAACCTCTCTCTCTGTCTGGATGGCATGCGCGATTTGTTTTCATCAACTTTAATGGAAATGGACATGAATGTCGTACTCTGTGTGACTGTAAAAAAAATCCATCATTTTATAACTGAAGTGCTTTGTTGAGATACTGCTGATGTTGTAATGTAAGGTACGTGTATAACTGCCTCGCGCTGCATTTATCATAAATTACTGTATTTCAGAAAATACTGCAATGCAAAATAGAAGCAATTTCACTACTGGTTTAGACAGGCTGTCAGTCTGCATTAGTGGTGGGGATTTTTCAGTCGCTCTGCAAGTTATATAGTTTTGCCAGTAGGTGGTGACATGTGATCGCCTTTGTGCCTTCAACCACTTTGTGCAAAACAATGGTTAATTCAGGAACGGAACTATAGTGGCTGTCTTTATGAGTAAGTCACCATTTACTCAAACCAAGATTGCCTTTATGAGTCATTGAATTATACCCTTAACCAATTCATTAAAAATACACCAATTCATGTAGGAACAGGAGTAGTGGCCATCTTTATGAGTGAGTCAATCGATTCCCTCAACTGATTTGTTCAAAATACCAGTTCATACAGGACTGAAAGATGTGACTGTCTTTATGAGTGAGTCATCATTCATTCAACTGATTCATGCAAAACTTGAACTCATTTAGGAATTAAACTAGTGGCTGCATTTATGAACGAGTCACCATTCACATAACCGATTCATTAAAAACTCCAAATTATTCAGGAATTAAAAAAGACTTAATTTTATATGCGAGTCATTGAATTATACACTTAACCAATTCATTCAAAAAACACTAATGTTTGAATGAAACAAGCAGCCGTCTTTGTAATGAATTTACTCTGATATACTTTATTCAAAACTGATTAATTCATGATCAAAACAAGTGACTATCTTTATATGTAAGTCATTGAATCAATAATGTACATATTTGTTTAAAAACAAATTCATTCAGGAAATAAACTAGTGGCCTTCTTTATGAGTGAGTTATTATTCATTCACCTGATTCTTAAAAAGCACATTCATTCAGA